TTCTTTTATTTCTCTGATTTCTCTTCAATCTAGAAAGTGCCATTGTATCCAGCTTCCCTTCAAACTCCAATCCCTGCTTTTCTGTCCTCTTATTTTATATAACATCAGTAACCAAAGCAAATAACCTTAAAGGTTACTACTTTGTGAATTTTATTCTTTGAAATAAATATATGTATTTTACCATTTCCTTTTGTGACTTTGGGCAAAACACTGAACCTTGATTTATTTCAGTTTTCTCCTCCGACCTAAATGGTTGGAAGGAAATCTAAAAAAGAGGGGATGTACGTATACCTGTGACTGATTCACTTTGCCATATGGCAAGAGACTAATGCAACACTGTAAAGCGATTGTACTCTAATAAAAATTAATTTCTTCTCGGTAAAATGTGCATTATAATAACATCTAAGCTGTAAATGTTGTGACAATTCAGTCCAAGTGTTTATGAAAAGACTCACCCTGGCTATGGCAAACACTATCGAACTATAAGGTTTATGCTTCTTGGTTATCATTGTTTTCAATTATTGTCTATTGTTATTATAAAGTTATCTATCTTCATTTTTCACTATCAGAGGGTTTCTTTTCATATTAACTCAGTAACATCTAAGGTAGCTAGTCTTCTGAAAAAAAGTAGCAAGTTTTTCATGTATTTTTACAGGTGAAATTTTAATATTTAAAGCTTGAAATTTCTCTTTACAAAATTGAGTTTAATTTTCCAGGAAAAAGGAGTGATTTTTTTGGGGAGGGGGCAAAGGTGTTTTGTAGAGAAACTCCCTAGTGGCTTAATCAGCTGGAGCTGGTTTGGCCCTAAAAAAATTTAGGAATTTTTGTGGCTTGGTTAATGGAGAAGGAAATGGCAACCCACTCCAGTATTCTTGCCTGGAAGATCCCATGGATGGAGGAGCCTGGCGGGCTATTGTCCGTGGGGTCACAAAGAGTCGGACTGACTGAATGTCTAACACTACCCTAGAGCTTTGAGGCTCTTTGTGTCCTTCGGCTCAGGCTGCTGGCCACTTAAAGTATTGGTAGCTTAAAGTTGATACTGCTGTGAGGTTTTACACCATGGAACTTGGCAAAATGCCACAAATCAGGACCCATCATAGCGTATCACCGTACAATTTAAAGATGAGATCATTGTGAAGTTTGATGTGATGACAAACTATTTTATGGTGAATTTTAATATGTCACGGGCAAATTGTACCTTTAAGATTTAATTGCTGTATAAATTAGTGAAGTGAAGTCGCTCAGTCATGTGTGAGTCTTTGCGACTCCGTGGACTGTAGCCCACCAGGCTCCTCTGTCCATGGGATTCTCCAGGCAAGAATATTGGAGTGGGTTGCCATTTCCTTCTCCAGAGGATCTTCCCGACCTAGGGATCGAACCCAGGTCTCCCGCATTGTAGGCAGACGCTTTTACAGTCTGAGCCACCAAGGAAACATAAATTAGAAATCAGTATAATAATTACGCTTAACGTGGATGTGAACACCATCATTCAATATCAGAGGAGGTCCATTTGTATATTTTACACTTGTTCCTTTGCATATTTATGCAGTATGTGTTTTTGAATGATTAATGACCAAGTGAATTTTTTTAACCCCCCCCTTAAAAAGTAAAAGAAAAATATTCTTTTTCAATAAAAAGGAAATATGTATTTAAGAGAAAAATGTTCTCAAATTTTAGAGCCAAGTTAGGGCAAATTCAGAATTTTAAGTTTTACTTTCAATATCCCAATAGGAAGAAAATCTTGTGAGAAAAATACCTTGTTAGGCTTCAGATATTTGTTATGAAGAGATACAGGTTCCATCCCTGGGTCAGGAAGATCACCTGGAGCAGGAAATGGCAATGCATTCCAGTCTTATCTGGGGAAATCCTATGGACTGAGGAGCCTGGTGGGCTGCCGTCTATAGGGTCACAAAGAGTCGGACATGACTGAGCATACTTACACACACATTTGTTATAATGGCTATAATTCCCTATAAAAAAAATGGTTTCATAAAATGCTCACTGTTTGCTTGGCTTTTTCTTGCTCATCTAGTGGAATAAACCACATGTGAGATCTTTCTGAAACTGACGAGTTCGTGGGTTCCACTTCCTGTTGTGAGGAGTTAGACATATCTCAAACTTACTGAAGTTCTCAAGACTGTTTTCATTCTCTCATGTAAATCAATTTAGGTTTCAAGTTCATGTCGATCAACCGAAAATGCAATTCCTTCTAATTTATCGTTCCTGTAATATGCAGCTCTGCTTCTGGTTGGGGGAAAGTTTGAACACTTATACAGATTTTATGATCATTTGCCCTAGGAAAAGTTCTGTCTGAGGTGTAGGGCTGACTCAATGACTAAACTCCTTGCCCTCCTTTTTAAAAAAAAAGTCTGAATAAGGTCCTCTCAATTTTGGGTGCTCCCCCTGCTCGAGGTATTGTCCAGCCTAGAGCCCCACTTCTCATTAGTCCAGAGGCAAGAATCTAGCATAGACCGAGGCCTGTTTTGGGGCCAGGTTGAGACACAGCGTGCAGTTTGATAGAGGGTTTTCTCTAGAAGCAGCCATCAGCTTGTATGGTGGAATTGGAAAGACCTTGTCAAACTGTGCTGTGCTGAGTCTCTTGAGTTCTGTTAGACTCTTTGCGACCCCATGGACTATAGCCCACTAGGCACTTCTGTACATGCGATTTTCTAGGCAAGAATACTGGAGCGAGTTGCCATTTTCTCCTCCAGGGGACCTTCCCAACCCAGGGACTGAACCGATGTCTCCTATGTCTCGTCTCCCACATTAGTGACAAGAGATGCCTTTATCACTAGCATCACCTGTTAAGCCTAGGAGCCCATAATTGATGGATGGAGGAGATTCGCTTGCTCCCAGTCAGGAGGGATAGGGATGGAACATGGACTGCCTCCCTTCACGGATCCTGCAGCCTCCTCTCCTACTTTCTCTTCTTTTCTAAGCCGTTCTTTTTGTATAAGCTAATGTGATTGACCTTGTTCAGATGGGCCAGAATGGTCTAGGACTGCCTCTGCCTACAATTCCCTTTTCTTCCTACTCCCCTGTGGTTCTTAATTTGTCTCGAGAGCTTCCTGGGGTCTCCTGGACCCCAGATTCTCTTAAATTGTTCCCACTGTCTAAAGTGACTTAGTTTCTTCTTTTTTAGTCCTGGCTCTCGGTTAAGTTCTAGCTATCCAAATAATATACATTATCCAAACAATATATTTGGGCTAAAATATTTTGTTAATGGGCTTAGCTGAACTCAGATAATTGCATATAGAAAAAACCCCAGGAGAAAGAACATTTGAGAGAATAGAGGGAATTTTAGACCAGGATGCAGGTCAGTGTGGGAGATTATCTTATGAAGTGGAAATGACTAGAACTTGCTAAAAAATGCCTAAATTTTAGTTGCCTGTCTTGACTCTAACATGTCTTCTCTTGCCTAAAATTTAGGGCAGTTATTGCCTTTGTCATGTTCATTTTTCAAAAGGATGATTTATTTCTTCAGGGATAAAGTTTTATTCTAATATTTGTAAAATAAAAAGTCAGTATGAGGTTTCTCAGGAAATATAGTTTAAAGCACTTTAACTTCATCACTGAAGTTAAATATTGAGAGAAATATATATGAGAGAAATATAAATCCTACCTATCCTAAAACTTATTAGGAAATTTTTTGTTATTAGATATGAAGTATTTGTTTATATCTATAATCATATAATATTATAGTGCATACATACAGAATTTTTAGTTTTTAGTGCAATTTTGTATACAGTCATATTAAATACTTACTAGACTTATGGGATTGGAATTATAAATATCTTGATTTTACAAATGAAGGAAGTTGGTTTTGAGTGCTAAACTGACTATTCCCTGGGTAACACAGCTACTAATTATAACAACTGTAAGTTGATTTCAGGTCTCTGAATTTAAAAATCCCATCTTACTTCCACTTGGTCATATTCCCTCTTCAAACATATAATAGAACCATTGTAATTATTAGAGCAATAGTTAGATGCAGAGGATATTAGCCAGGTGCATCTAGAATAACTTTATAAGATCTTGTAATAGGATTGCATCCCAATTTTTAGAACTCCTCTTCGATTATATACATCTTTTTTTTCAAATTCTCCACTCAAAAGATTATGTCATTTAACCCTGACTGAATTCAGGTTAGATATCATGGAGGAAAAATAATCACACACACACAGAGCCAGTTGAAAGCATTTTTTTTTCTATTTTTGTTTATAGTCTGATGATTTTACATGAATTGTTTAAAATGTACTGTGAAAAATGTGTGTTTCAGATATAGCATCTTTTTTTTTCTAATTTAAATCTTAGAAGAGCTAGTATAAAGTAGAAATAGGTAATTAATTTATCTTCCATAAGACAATATATGAATTAAACCTGGCTGCAAATCAGAATCTCCCAGTAAGGAGGGTTGATAGGTACTTATACCTCACGAAAAGAGGTTGTGGAACTTCTTTTTCTGGGATGTTTAATTCATGTGGTTTACATGCAACCCCGTGGAGGTAGCAGGACCATGAATTTAGTAGTCTGATGTAAACCTGTAGTCGTGTGAGATTGTAATGGTTGGCTTCCAGGTTTATTTAAATAATTGCTGCTCTTTAGAAATGGCACAAAATGAAGTATGCTATAAGTTTTTCTTCTCTCACAAAAAATAAAAGGGGAGATATTTTTATTATTTTTAAGAACTTGAGTGAACACTATCCTGTCATAACTAAAGTGGTAGTGAGAAAGGTGACTGTGGGTGGAAACAGGAAACATTAGTGATAAATGCTGTGTTAAGTCTTTTTTTCAGGTGCAGCTAGATGTCTATTGATTCTAATTAGCACATTTTGTGCCTCAGCTAGTAAGCGCCCCTTTAGCTCTGCTTGGAGAGTTTTTTTTTTTTTTTTAGCTTCCATCCTGCTCATAAACACTGCCACCTCCTCCCTCCTTCTCTCTTTACAAATGTTACAACACAATCAGAAATTTCCTCTTTTCTCTCCTTCCTGCATTTCCAGCAGGTTCCCTTGCGTCAGAAGCAGAGAAAGAAAACTCAAGGTAATTAAATCTTTTGTTTCTTTATCCCCTATTTGTGTGTGTGTGAGTGTCGTGTTCTCCTGGATGTCTTCTTTGGGATCCGATTTTTGTCTGTCTTAATGCTAATACCAGGACGTGGATGGCAGATTAATGTGGGGTTCTTGTTTTTGGATCGATTTTAAGAAATGATGGCTTGCTGTTCATTTGGATTAATCCCCCGTGGCATGTCAATAGAGCTTACAAAGACTGGCACTGAGTCGGCAAGTGGCTGTGTTTCTAGGTGGGCATTAACCCTTTTCCATCTCTTGCATAACTACTGCTATTATTGTTGAAACAAGCTGGTTAGTGCAGTGATGTGCCTGCCAGAATCATGATTTTCATGTTTTCAATTTACTCGATTGAAGAATGTTCTTAGACTTACACCTGCCTGTGTCTCACTGTTTCTTTGATCGTGTCCCTTCTAAGCACCAAATGAATGTTTAAAAATAAAATCGATACTTTATGTTTCACATTCACTTTGCATAAATCTTGGTACAAAAATCCAACTTCCTGAAGGTAAACAGCGTACAGTTCCCTTTCACTCTGTCTTATAAATCAGGATACGACGTTACCTACTTTTTCATGTACTCGTTTGCAGGTTTCTTCAGCATGAGTCGAAGGAGGATATCGTGTAAAGACCTGGGACATGCTGACTGCCAAGGGTGGCTCTATAAGAAAAAGGAGAAAGGAACTTTCCTAGGCAACAAATGGAAAAAGTTCTGGGTGGTCCTGAAGGGATCGTCACTGTACTGGTACGGCAATCAGCTGGTGAGTCCACTGTCTTCCTCCTCTTCCCTCTTCAACAAAGGGTGGGTCAGAGATCATGATGGAGCAGGTGGTCCCTATGGGAAAGATCATTTCAAGTTCTGGGACTTGGAATAGAGCAAATAAACCAATAAGCTCTAGAAACTGCTTCTGTGGATATGTAGGTTTTTCTGTTGTACTTGGAGGAGAAAACCATCGGGCTTGACTGATCTTTGGTTGGAGAGGAGCATCCCGATGTATACCTGTCTTGAAGGAGGATTTCAGGGCCTGTTAATGTTACTCTTCCATGAGAGATGCTAATCATTTCAGGATTTTCATGGACAACATGTGCTATGGACACTTGACTTTGCTAAGATCTCTACTAAAAAAAGGGTCTCAACTTTAAGAAAAGTTGAGGGTATAAACTGATTCTGTCCACCGAAGCTGTTTCCATTTCTCCTCCTTCATTATTTTCTTTTCCTCTGACCTTCTCTGTTGGGAGGTGTGTGTGTGCAGGGGTTGGTTTTGGAACCTCTAACCTGCATGCCGACATTGTGTTGGTGACTGTCATCTCTTGTTTTTTGGCATGTACACTGATGGCTTTAAACTAATGATCCTTGGACAAGTCTTGATAAGAAAGTTGCCTAATTTATCCTGTAACAGGCAGTGTACTTTTGAGATCTGTTTTGCAGGCGAGTTTTCTGTTGGAAAGGGCTGGAAATAAAGTTATTGTTAAAATGTGTGATGATCAAAATTTTAAAAAAATGTGTGCTGATCTTTCCTGGCTTGAGGCATCCTGAAAACAATGATGTTGTTGAATATTGACCAGAGATCTTTCAAAAAAGAACCCTCTCCACTAACCCCAAGTAGCCAATTGCTGATCTCAGGAGAGCTTGTTTCCCATTTCTGTTGAGTGAAGGTCAGCAGTGGATGTCCTTTAATCTATTAAGGAGAAATCATTTAAAAATTGACCACAAGCCAGAACAGTTCTTTTTATGTGACGCCATTCTTTTAAAGCGTCTTGTGTATGCCCATCTCTCGAGCAACAGAGCTTTAGGGCAAATAACTTTATAAATGTAAAATAAGTGCCCTGTGTAGTTTGAAGGTGAAATTTTCAGCTGAGAAATTTACATTCACTGGCCACTAATCGAAAACTTGTGTATCCACGTGACCCAAGGCACCTGTCCTGTAAGGATCTGGTTAAACTGGACTCAGATCCAACCCCAGTGCCCTGGAATCAGCTCCCTCTCTTGTGCCTCTCTCTGTATGCCCCCCCACCCTGTCTCCTGCTCCCAAGTTTATTGCTTTGGTTTCACCCAAAACCTGGTACAACATTCGTCACTGCGTTTTACAAAAATATATATTTTTGAGTTTTAGCAATTTTATCAAAGATTTGGGAGGTTCACCAGTAAGAACCACCTTGCAGAACGTGTCGTCCTCCACTGTCTCCTTGATCTCTCTTGTTCTCCTCTCCTGGATACATTCCCCATCTCATCTAGCATGGAATGGTTTTATTTCAATTAAGGCAACCTTGGGCTGGGCTCTCACCTTCTATCCTAAGGGTTTTTTTCCTAAATGAATACAGCTTCCTTCTTTTAATTTTTTTTAATGAGAAAGTTTAAGATTTGTTTACTATAAACTTTCAAATATGCAATACAGTATTATTTACTATAGTCACATTATTGTACATTACATCCCTATGATTTATTTACTTTATAACTAACAGTTTGTACTTTTACTATCTTCACCCCTTTTGCTCATCCCTCAGTCTCCACCTCGGACAGCCACCAACCTGTTATCTGTATCTCTGAGCTTGGGTTTGTTTCTTTCTCTTTTAAAGATTCTACATAAAAGTGAGCGCATACAGGATTCATCTTTGTCTAATTTATTTCACTTAGCATAGTGCCTTCAAGGTCCATCCATGTGGCAAGTGGCATTTCACAAGAAACGAAATTCACAAGAATTTCATTACTTTTATAGCTGAATGTGTGTGTGTGTTAGTGGTTCAGTCATGTGAGATTCTTTGTGACCCCATAGACTGCAGTCGCCAGGCTCCTCTGTCCATGGGATTCTCCAGGCAAGAATACTGGAGTGCGTTGCCATTCCCTCCTCCAGGGGATCTTCCTGACCCAGGGATTGAGCCCAAGTCTCTTGCATTACAGGCAGATTCTTTATCATCTAAGCCACCAGGGAAGCCTGTCATAGCTGAATAATATTCTATTATTTACATATCTCAGTCAGTTGAGTTCAGTTGCTTAATTGTGTCCAACTCTTTGTGACCCCATTGACTGAAGCATGCTCACATCCTTTTAATCCACTCATCCATTGATGAACATTTGGATTGTTTCTGTATCTTGGCTATTGTAAATAATACAACTTCCTTCTTATGAAGTTTAATAAATTAGGGTTAATATAACTTTCTCCTCATTTATAATATTTTAGGCTTTTTCTTTTGGCTAGCTGTGGCAAGTTTTAGTCTGCATCTTTTATGAAATGAGACGGCTTACTAATTTACTTTTTAATAGCTCTTTAGGAATTTTCTGAGACTGTTGGGAGCATTGGGTGCTGATGGAGCAGAGCACATCTGTGGGAAGTAAAAAAGCTCAGAAATAAGCCTGGCATTAATTTCCTCATTCAATCGCATTTTTCCTCAAATATGTTCTGGGTGCTGTTCCTATCTTCATAGAATTGAATCCCCTCTGAACCACACATAGTTATAGAGTTGGCTTATTTGGCCTCATCAGTTCATTTGGCTTATTTCTCTTAAGGGAGCAATGAATTACCTATTTTAGGCATTAGGAATCTCATGCTTCCATAGGGAACAGCACTGTTGATGGAGACTTGATGAAAAGGAGGAAAAGAAGGGACCATATAACCCCCTTGAGCGCCCCTGTCCTCAGTTGCTGCCATACAAACACAGAAAGCAACACTCAGGGAGCAAATCATGAATTTGAGTAGAAATAGATTAGCAACGTTGAATGGAGATAACTTATTGTTATCTGGCCAGAGAATTATCCTATTCAGCTAGTGGTATATAACAGAACAACCCTTTCAGCTCCCTAATTCTATGCTTCTGTATTATAGAGGAGTCATCTCTACACACACACACATACACACACACACACACATACACCCTGACATCTTAATTATATGTTTGTTTTGGGGAAAAAAGGCTACTCAGTGAATACTTAATTAAGAGTCATAGTCCTGCCATCCGTGTGAATATCAACTGTGAAGTAAGAGTCAGACAGATACCCTCAGGCTGAGAACATTTATTTACTTTAAGCCACTCCAGGAATTCAGACTCAGTAAAGTAGCTCCCAAGGCATCTATGCCGTATGAAGAGACTTCTTTTTCTTCTACCTTTCCTGTTCCCCGTTCTTTTTCATACGGTAACGAAGCTGATAGTTTCATAGCTAGAGCCTCCTCTTATCAAAGGCCTGCCAAATGCCAAGGGAGATTCGAAGTACCTTTCCTACATGCTTTTTAAAAACTCCTCCAAAATACCCTCTGAAGTAGCAGCTGTCACCACGTTTTGAATGTTGGGAGAAGGCTGAGACTCAGGGAACTCACACACATTCTCCAGGTGATCCAAGTGCTAACGGGGTAAAGCAGATCCTCTTAAGCCCCTTAGACTTCTCAGCCCTAGGCTGTTGGCCTGTGCCAACCTGATTCCATGGGGAGACCAGGATAAGCTTGGTCCCATGTGGTTCCACCCCGCTCTTGTCTGCCTTCAGTGGGGCTCAGAAAGAGCAACTCTAGAGGTGAAATGTGAGGCTGGGCTTCTGTGCAAGTCCAGCTGATGTCGTGGCATCCCTCTGCTTGTCGCTCTCGTTCCCTGACAACCTGAGGAGACAGCACTCTCACCTCTCTCAGGGTTTTGTTATTGACGTTACCTAGTAACCGACACATGGTGTACTTCCTTCTTCCATCACTCTTTGCTGCTTTAAAAAATGCTGCGCAGATTTTCTTGAGAAAGGTCAAGTCCAGACATTCATCTATCGCTTTTCACACCCCATCTTATGTGCATAGAATCTCATGCTGCACACAAGAATTTATGCCATGTTTTACAAAACCATATTCAAGTTGAACAGCCTTAAAAATCCAGGCTGTTTAAAATCCTGGATTGAAATCCATACAAGTGCTTTTCCTTGCCCCTAAAGTACCAGTTCATTTCCTGGCTCCTGATAATCTCCTGGCCTATATCTATCTTACTCTCCCCACCCTCTATATTGCCACCCAAGCTGCAACAGCAGAACTAATTTTAATTCTTTATTAATGGCATGTATGCCAGCTCTCTCTTTAAGCCTTTGCATATGCTGTTTATTGGCTCAGATAACTCTTTGTCTTCACCCCCTAAAGTCTTTCTCCCACTCAATCCCATCAAGCTTACTCCTCCTCCTAAGTCAGATTTTAGGTTGAATAGCTGATCCCCTTAATGTCCTTACCTTTCCTCTGACCCAGATTAGGCCTCCTCTTCTATGCCCATGGCAGCCTATACTTAATACTTATTACACCTATCTTCCTCTTTTGTACATCTTGTTGTATGTGTTTAGTCGCTCAGTCATGCCCAACTCCGTGTGACCCTGTGGACTGTAGCCTGCCAGGCTCCTCTGTTGATGGAATTCTCTAGGCAAGAATGATGGAGTGGGTTGCCATGCCCTCCTCCAGGAGATCTCCCCGACCCAGGGATTAAAGCCTGGTCCCTCATATTGCAGTCGGATTCTTTACAGTCTGAACCACCAGGGAAGCCCGTACATCTTGTTGATCTTGCTGTTTTCCATAACTGACAATAATCTCTGTAGAGCAAGATTGAGTATATCTTTAGCACCTTAGGCAGTGTCTGACACTTAACAGGCACTCATGTTGTATTTGTTGGTTTTATAAATAAACAAGATTTAGGAATCACCAGCATTTACCTTACCCGTGGGGGTTTTGAGAAATGGGCTGGTGAGGAAAGGTGGCTTTTGATGGAAAATAATTTTCCAGTAAAATTACCTCTATTAAAAATAAAATAGTCATAC